CATGCCCAGATGCTGTTTTATAAAGAAAACAGACCTAAAAAGGTTTAGATACCAATCAGAGATGGCAGGACCAGCGATAAAGTGCAAGGAAAAAATTTTAAAAATAGTTGAAAAAATTTTCTTCTTAGAGAGTGCTTATTTATAGTCTCAAACGTATTTTGGGATTTTTTTTATTAAATTTCTCTTTAAACTTCATTAAATAATACAATTTAATACAAATAATTGAATGTTATGCTACTATTTACAAAAATAAAATATGAAATCCAATAAAAGATAAGTTCTCTATAATTTTTCAATTCACTAATGTGATTTTTCCCGCACAATAAGACAAAATGGCCCAGGTAGGTAAGGAGTTAATGATTGTTTTTGTAGATGTGAAATGTTTTGATTAGATATACAACTAATTATTGTTTCGACAAGCAATATTATATATTTTTGCATATCATGAAACAGCAGCATTTATTTATATGTATATATATTTTATACTTATGCTAATGGTTCTTGTCCATTTATAAGGACTACAGTATTAGGCAAAAATGTTAAATGTTTTTCATAAGGAATGGTCAGATTTTTTGATTACATGTTTTTTATTAAGTAAACTGTTTCCTAAAATAAATGAACTTCGATTTTATCTTGAATAAAACCTGAACACACTGCAGTAGTACATTTAAGCATTCTGATATTGACATTGGAAAAGATTGAGAAGAAACACAAAAAATAGATTGCTGTTTTTATCACCTCTCTTTGTATGGTTATATTTCTTATTATATAATTTGAGCACCACCTGTCAGGGAGAGCTATCAATACAGGTGCAGCATTTTAAACCACTACCTTTCCTCAAATCATCAGTTTTACCCTAGTGGTTATGGAGAGTAATTCAACTTTGGAACTATCAAAAAAAATTCATATATTTCCTAGACTTGTCAACAATCCCCAGTTCAGATTAATATCTCCAGTACAATTTTGTTTTGTGCTGGTCCTCCCCAGGTTTTAGCTAACCCAAATTACTGGGTCCTGAATAGGTACCACAAAATGCCCCATAAGCAAGGCAAGCACAACTACTTTGCTTTGACCTTTGTCCTATAACAAACTGAACTGCATTCAGTTTGCACACAACTGTCCACAATCAACTACTAACATCTTGATATGACAATTGCACAAAAATAAAGCCATGTGAAAGTACCACATGATTAACCCTTTCACCTCAGGTAAGTCAAAGTATGTATGTCACAACCTTTCATAGAGTTACATTCAAAATTTAATTAAGCCACTTTGTTATCAATGCATATGGATGAACTCGACATCAGAACATAGATAATATATATTTTAAACGTTCTCAATCTCTTTTAGTATGAGAACTGTGGCATTTGTTATCTATGTCTTTCCTCTTTAATTTTTACCCCCCCCCCTCTGAGAAGTACGAAATTTAATGTAAAGTACTCATAATAATGTTTTCATCATTCAGGCAAAGCATAATTTATATAGCCTTCAACCTTATTTAGTTACAGAGCAATAAAAAAGAAAATCAGACCCCTTTTGCCATGCTCATCTGTCACATGCTCTCTTTCAGAACTTGTCAATAGTTCGCTCTGACAGTTAAGACTACATTATTTATAACCAATAGAAAGACAAAGTTTTCTCTATCAAATTATGTAATGTATTACTTTGTTGTTTGTACAGAGTAGTCTACTTTCCTTCCAGTGCAAACTTTATTCCCACAGGAAACACACAGAGAAGCTTAACTGAATTTTTAACAGCTTTTGTTGCACAGTTAGAAAGCTAGAAAAATTGTAAGTTATGGAACATTGTTTCATTTTGCATATTATTATTCTATGTTCTTTGATGCATTATTTAATTAAATAGAAATTATTTAATCCAGTAGTACAATTAGTATAAAAAAATAGGATGGAGTTTCACTGACAATCAAAAACAAATAAGAAAGACCCAGGTAAGTACTATATTCCTTGTTTTTCATGTATATTCTTTATTTATTATAATACAATAATTAAAATGTAAAAATTGACAACTTTTTATGTTAGCTAAAATAAAATAAATAATAATAATTTTTATGAGGTACACTCATAAATAGTCCATGTGTTATGCAATTCGATATCATATTATGAGCTGCATGTGGGGAACACCCACGTGATTTGCAATTTACATGGCATGAATTAATAGTTAGACACGTTCAAAGGGCAATAAAACAATAAAATTCAAGTATAAATAGGT